TTGAGTGTGGACTTGAGTCCCTCAGAGCTGGATTCCAGTTAGGGCTCCAGGACTTCAATGGTGAAAATCATGCAGAGCGTATGTGTCTTTACACAACTTCAATTCTTTTTTTAAAATTTTTAAAAATATTAACTAGTCATTGCTCCTAAGCATTTTTCTTTGGACCGAGCTGGGATATAAGTTTTTAAAAATTTTTAAATTTATATAAGGTGAACAAACTTCATGTATTTTGTATAGAAAGATTTAGGAGCACAGTGATTCTTCCCTCCCTCCTTCCTCCTTCCTTTCTATTCTTTCTTTTGATTTTCACAATGACATACTTTCAGTTTATTTTATAATCATGAGATTAACCCTCTACTAGGTAAAGAATTTAACAAATATTAAGAAACGAGCCGGCACTGTGGCTCACTAGGCTAATCCTCTGCCTTGTGGCGCCGGCACACAGGGTTCTAGTCCCGGTCAGGGCGCTGGATTCTGTCCCGGTTGCCCCTCTTCCAGGCCAGCTCTCTGCTGTGGCCAGGGAGTACAGTGGAGGATGGCCCAAGTGCTTGGGCCCTGCACCCCATGGGAGACCAGAAGAAGCACCTGGTTCCTGCCTTCGGATCAGCGGGGTGCGCCAGCCGCGGTGGCCATTTGGGGGTGAACCAACGGCAAAGGAAGACCTTTCTCTTTGTCTCTCTCCCTCACTGTCCACTCTGCCTGTCAAAAAAAAAAAAAAAAAAAAACAGAAAACACTGTTCTTCAACAGTAGAGACAAGGGCTGTAAGTAGTTATCAAATTTCAAAATGTCAATTTTGCTCATATATACTCTATTAGTTACCACAGATCAAGGAAAACACATGATATTTGTCTTTTTGGTGCTAGCTTATTTCATTAAGCATAATGGTTTCCAGTTGCATCCATTTTGTTGCAAAGGACAGGACTGCATTCTTTTTATGGCTGAGTAGTATTCCATGTTGTATATATACCACATTTTATTTATCCAATCATCAGTTGCTAGACATCTGGGTTGATTCAGTATCTTTTTTTTTTTTTTTTTTTTTTTTTTGACAGGCAGAGTGGACAGTGAGAGAGAGAGACAGAGAGAGAAAGGTCTTCCTTTGCCGTTGGTTCACCCTCCAATGGCCGCCGCTGCAGCCGGCGCACTGTGCTGATCCGATGGCAGGAGCCAGGAGCCAGGTGCTTTTCCTGGTCTCCCATGGGGTGCAGGGCCCAAGCACTTGGGCCATCCTCCACTGCACTCCCTGGCCACAGCAGAGAGCTGGCCTGGAAGAGGGGCAACCGGGACAGAATCCGGCGCCCCAACCGGGACTAGAACCCGGTGTGCCGGCGCCGCAAGGTGGAGGATTAGCCTATTGAGCCACGGCGCCAGCTGATTCAGTATCTTAGCTATTGTGAATTGAGCTGCAATAAACATAGGAGTATAGATAACTGTTTCATATGCTGATTTCATTTCATTTGCATAAATTCCTAGGAGTGGAATGGCTGAGTCATATGGTAGATCTATTTTCAGATCTCCAAGGAACCTCCATACCATCTTCCACATGGCTATACAAGTTTACATTCTCACTGACAGAGTATTAGTGTACCTTTTCCCCCACATCCTCACCAGAATTTATTTATTTTTTATTTCCTTATGATAGCTATTCTAACTGGGGTGAGGTAAAACCTTATTGAGGTTTTTATTTACATTTCCTTGATGGCTAGCGATCCTGAGCTTTTTTTAAATGTATCTGTTGGGCATTTGAATTTCCTCTTTGAAAAATGCTTGTTCAAGTCCTTTACCCATTTCTTAGCTGGATTTTTGTTTTGTTGTTGCTGAGTTTCTTGAGCTCTTTGTAGATTCTGGATATGAATCCTTTATGCAACTATTTTCTCCCATTCTGTCTTTTGTCTCTTCTCCTTGTTGAGTGTTTCTGGCCTAGTGGTCCACCTTTGATAGGTCATTCTTTCTTTTGAATGGCATATGTATTTGCTATATTATGCCACTGTCAAAGACTCTAAAAATAGCCATATCCTTTTACCAACTGGTGGGCAGTCTGGCCATCATTCTTGGCTTCTTTAATCATGTTAAAGTTTTATATACTATGATGCACCTCACAGGACTTTCAGGAAATGCTGAGGAACTTTCTCTGCAGAGATAAAAATAATGACACCGAGTCATTTCCTTTGTTGCTCTTGAATTCCATATAAAGTTATCGGCTGAGTATACCTTGCTTGATCTAGCAAGTGTGCCTGCTTAACATGGCTTCACACTGGTGACATTAGTCACTGTTAATTGCTCAAGTGTTGAGATCAGGTAGGCAATCACTGAGTTCATCTGTCAAAAAAGTGACTGGAGTCATATTAAAGAATAAAAGCTCTCACAGCTCCCAAGGACAGCAAGTTATCTCTACAGAATCGGCAGTATCCACATTTGTGGTCCTATGTAGTGACACAGAACTCTGAAAATGCCAGAGTGCAAGGATGGGGTTCTCAGGTATTTTACTTTACCCCACAATTGGTCATTGTTTTTCCATGAATGAGAGGTTTTTCTCCTTCTTTAAATAGAGCCTGTTCTACTTTAATTTTTCAACTTTTTTGATATTTAAACAGAATTTTTGGTTTAAATGAAACCTGACTTTTTTGGAAATTGACTTTGTGTGAAAGAGTTTTCCCTCCAATTGTTTTCTCGTGCTGCCATCCCTGTAGATAAAGAGCAGTGAAGGAGCCACAGTAGGTGTTTTGGAGGTAAGTGCCTCTTTTAGCACAACTTTCTCTGTTTGCTTCCGAAGAACCCTGGCTAGGGCTGTGCTCTCTGAGGGAGCAAAGACTCCGTCCAGACAGAGATTTTCTGAACTTGGGGAATGAAGCCATTGCGTTTGAATCTATACTCGGGGCATCTGACCTTCCAATTTTGTAGTTTGCCAACTGTAGAGAGAAACTCCGCTGAAATCTGTTGAGTTGTCATGACAGACAGGGCCATATGGAAAGTGCTGGGAAAATTCCTCCTTAGGCTATAAGGCCTTTGATGGGCAGAAACTCTGCCTTGTCCTGCACTCTGAGGACTTACAGTGCTCAAGGCGGTCTTCGGGGTTTATCAGCCAAGGCACGGTCAGCCTCCGCGCAGAATTAAAATGGGGCACTGAAAATATTCTGCTTGCCTGCAGGAGCCAACTAGACTTCATTTCATTTTATTTATAGGATCCTGTTCCTTCATCCTGAGCACATAATGTGTACCCAGGCTGATTAGATGAACAAAACTGCATGCTTCTTTGTGGCCATGTGGTTGAAATTGCCAAGGGGATCAATTACTCCCTTCCATTTGATTATCTGGGTGCCCTGGAGAGCAGGTTAAGGTGGAAATCTGCAAGCCTGTTAGCAGGTTCAGGTCCCGGCTCTGGACTGAATTCTGCTCTGTAATTTCTTAACACCTCTGCACCTCAGGTTTTCCATCTATAAAATCATGACAATAGTTACACCTAATCAAACTAATATGGTAATTAATAATTAAAATATATGCACCCTAAAAAGTACATCAAGTCGCACTAATATTCTAGCTGTAATCACTGTTATTAAACAACTAAGATTTTGTGCCATTAAACATGGTTCTCCATAATCAAAAAAACTGACCCCAAATTTAGCAAATTCTCTTTCTCCTTCTTGTTTTTTCATTCCTTTCCTCTTCTTGTTTCTTCCTTTTCATTTTCTCCACCTAGAGCTCTGGCTTTGCATTCACATTGTACTATTCCTGATATTTCCAGTTGTATTGTAATGTTCACGTTGTAATTCCCCATATTTCCAAAAAAGTCATGCTTTTCATGGCAGTGGTGTGGGCAGAAGGGAGCTGGCGTGGGGAGAAGGCAGGGCTGTCTATATCCCGAGGACGAGAAGGTGGATGCTCCCACTCCATACCTACCCACAGGTCTATTCCGAGGAAGGAACATTTTTCCATGTGGGGGTGGCATTCATATTGGAAGGGGATGGTTGATGGTGTTATTTTTGTTCCCTCCAAATGTGGAGGGATGTTTAAAATAGTGCTTTATTCAATCGGTGTAAGTGACACACAGACTATGTATAGTGGTAGCACTGGGCCGGACAGGTGATGGGGGCCAGATCGCACCAAAATCAAGAGCATGGCTCCCGACTGGCAGTGCCTGAGAAATCTGCTCCGAGGATGGCCGGCACAGGCCCCCATCCCAGGCCACCTGGCCAACCGTGCTTGCACGACCACGGCATCGCGCAAGTACCTTGCAGCCAGTGACCTGGCGTACTGGCGTCGTTTCCACGGGGCGAGCCAGCGGGTCGCATTTCCTCTCTGAACCTCCCTCCAAGTCGCACTGTACTCATGCAGAGTCTTCCTTGTTCTTTCCTGCTTTCCCACTGAGTGCCCGAGGGCCTGGAACTCAGCCAGGGTAACTGGATCGTTTGGCTGCAGCTCAGGCTATATTTAATTGGGGGGTATATTGTCTTGCCACGGTTTGACTAGCTCAGGAAACGTTTTTTGAGTTTGCTTGGAAGTTGTAGGTATTTGAACTCGTGTTGATTTTGACCCTGTTTGCTACTACTCTCTAGTGACTATAATTAAACTTTTATTGAAAGCATGGCGTGTTAGGTCTTGGAAAAATAGCCTCTTATACTTGGAATCAGCACAGTAAAGGTTCTGCCTATTTTGAGACAGACAGGTTAGGTTTCATTGAGCCTCACTTTGGGAGAAAGAGGGATGGAATGTTTTACTCCTTTGAGAAGTTTTATTATCAGAACTCATCTGAGTTGGCTTAGATTTGGAGGTGAATATAAAGCTGCCATATGTACAAGGGAAACTATGAAATATTTCCAGGGTGTCCCATGGATTTAAAACACAGTAAGAAATGCGAATTTTATGTAGGAACTAAGGAGAGGAACCCATTGCATCAGAGATGGGAGAGAAAGATGGCAGTGAGCAGAGACTCACTTCTGCCTGGGGGAAGTCTGATGGATGACACAGAACATTTGGTTGACTTGAATTAGAACACACATGCCTCCTCCACCTCCCATCTCCTCGTTGCAGCTCCGGCGAGCCTCTTTTCTCTGCCCTCAAGTGTGGTTGCTGTAGGACTAGGGAAGGGACACTAAAAATATTTCTGGAATGACGTGACCCCCTCTCGCCCCATCCAGGAAAGGGCCGAGGCTTCAGGAGAAAACAGCACATGCTTTCCTTTCATTTCTGGGAGTCCCGGGGTCGACCTGCAGATGCTGCTCCTTCCGTGGCCGGTGGCATTCAGACTCCCAGCTGCCCACGGTGCCAGGGAAACAACTGGACAGGACAGCTCAGCTGCCGGACGCTGGCCACAGTCTCAGCCAGCGCAGCAGCCCCCCAGCCACAGACCACCTCTGCTGCCCCATCCAGGCGCCTGGCCGGCTCCCGCAGGCTTGCCACGGCCCCGCCACAGAGGCTGAGCAACTGGCCGGGGGTGGCTGCAGCGGCCTCGGTGCCTACAGCTTTGGGGCTAGTCCAGGCACGTGGGACCCTGCTCCGGGCCACTCTGCGGCCCCTCCAGGAGCTGAGAGGCACCCAGGGCAGCCCCAGGGCTCACCATTGCCTCTTCCTGTCGCTGAGACCCGGGCGAGGGCTCCGGATGGAAGCGGCCCCTCCCGAGCTGAGTTCGCAGGCTGCACCGGTGGAAGTGGGGGACGAGGGCAGCGGCGCTCCAGGCAGCCGGGAGCTCAAGCAGCAGCTGCGGCCACTTCCCAAGCCTCCGGCCTCCTCCCAGCGAGAGGCGAAGTATGTGGAGATGTGCGCTTCAGCCGGAGCCCCGAGGGCCAGTCCCCGCAGCGTGAAACTTACCCTGGAGCACCATCCTGGGGACCAGCGGGCCCCGGGGAGCCCGAAGGAGAAAGCCCAAGAGGAGCCCAACGGCCGAGAGCAGCAGGCGCCAGCTCCCGGGAAGAATCCTGCTGCGGCCGCACCCTCCAGCGCCCGGCTCTCCCGCACTGCAGAGGGGGATGGCAGCTTCTCCTCCTCCGTGTCCTCGTCCCCAGTGGACGACGCAGAAGAGGACGGCCTTTCCAAAACGGCCGATTCTGCCACATCCACGGGGGCTCTGGCCACCTCCTCTTCGTCCTTAGGCTTTGAGAGTGAGGGCAGTGAGATCCTGGGGAGCTGCCAGCCCCGGGGGGAAGAAGGGGCCGGCGGGGGAGGGGCAGGGGACAGCACGGAGTGCAGGGACATCATTGCCAAGTCGCAGGGCAGCAGGGAACCCCCCAAACACGAGGAGGCTCACTACATCACCACCCACGAGATCCAGCTGAGTGAGGTGGAGCAAGATATGGATTTCGACGTGGGCCTGGCCTCCCGCTGGGATTTCGAAGACAACAACGTGATCTACTCGTTCGTGGACTATGCCTCCTTTGGCGGCAGCGACGAGACCCCAGGGGACATCACCACCCCGACCGAAGAGGACGACGACAACAGCTGCTACCTCAGCACCACTCCCAGCACCAACGCCACGCGGACGCCCAGCCCCACCAGCAGCGACCTGGTCCGCCCCAGCGCCGGCAGCAGTGGTCGTGACACCAGCAGCACGGAAGTCGGCAGCGGCCCCCCTGACGGTGACCCCACTCCCCCACCCACTGGCCCTGGCACTGCCACCCTGCCTGAGTCCTTGCCGGAGCACGGGGAGGCAGCTTCAGGGGCAGCAGCCGCCGCAAGCAGCTGTGGGAGTGCAGCAAGCCAGATCCTCCTATCAATCAAACCGACTTCCCGGGCTATAAATGAGCCTAGCAACGTGCGTGCAAAGCAAAACATTATTTACGCTGCCAAGCATGAAGGCGACATGAGCCTCCGCGTCTCTACAGCTGCTGAACACAATTCAAGTTCCCTGAAGCAAAACCCGGCTGCAGCCGTGGCTCAGGACCATGCAAAGAAATTCATTGCCGTCCCTGCTCGCCTACAAACCAGGTGCGGGGCCATCCGAGCGAAGGAGCTGGTGGACTACTCCAGCGGGGCCTCCAGCGCCGTGAGCGAGCTGGACGATGCCGACAAAGAGGTGCGTAACCTGACCTCCCGAGCCTTCCGGAGCCTTGCGTACCCCTACTTTGAGGCTCTCAACATCAGCTCCCGAGAGTCCTCCGCCACGCTCTCCGAAGTGGGCTTTGGGCGCTGGTCGACCTTCCTGGATCTAAAATGTGGGGGCGTTGGAGCCAGGGTGGAGCAGAGCCTGCTGAGGAGCAGTGCGGCCTCTGTGGCTGCAGGGCTGAGGAAGGGCTGCGGCGCCAAGGCCGCTGCTGCAGACCAACTCTACATCCAGTCCAAGAAGTCCCAGACCAAGGCCTTGGAGTTCGTGGTCAGCAAGGTTGAGGGGGAGATCAAGCACGTGGAGACACCCCTGTGCTTCCAGAAGCAGGTGCAGACAGGCCCCCGCGTCGTCACGCTGCTGGAACCGCTGAACCTCCGCAGTGAGAGCAAGGCCAGCTCAGCTGCCGGGCCCTCCAGGGCCCCCAAAGGCTCCGGCAAGGCTTCTGGGTCGGTGTACACGGACGATGGCTCCGAGACCTCTGAGAGTGGCAAGCCAGTCCCCCGCGCGGATGGCTCCCAGAAGAAGTCCAAGTTTGCATCCAGCCTGCTCAAAAACGTCATTTCCAAGAAGATGCAGCGGGAACACGAGTTCAAAATGGAGAGGGGAGAGGTCAGCGATACGTCCCACCACAACCTCCCCGGCACCTGCAAGGAGATGGAAGGGCCTCCTGGCAATGAGAAGCTGCGGGACAGGGGCCTGCAGAGGCAGAACTCCCGCCATTCGGAGGCCGGCTCTGAGTACACCGTGGTCAGCGTGTCCGACGCAGGCGGGGAGGGCTCGGTGGTCGGCTCTAAGTCCCCAGTGTTCAAAGCTAGCACTCCTCGGGAGAGCACCGCGGGCTCCGGCCGGAATATCACCGATGGACACACAGAAGTGTGCGAAATTAAAAAGAGTGCCTCGGAGACGGTCAAGGGCATCTTCCTCCGGAGTCAGAACAGCGCCTTCCGGTCGTGGAAGGAGAAGGAGGCGGAGAAGCGAGACGAGAAAGCTCCGGTCGGAAAGCTCAAGCTCCCCAAAGGGGGCGACTGGAGGGCTGACCTCGGCGAGATCTCGGCCAGCAAGTCCACCATCATGTCTCGCCTCTTTGTCCCCAATATTCAGCAGACACCCAAGGACAAGCTCCCCGGGAAGCAGGCCACCAAGTACCCCGCTGCCCAGGCCACCTCCACGGCGGTGATCAGGCCCAAGGCTCCGGAAATCAAGATCCGGCTGGGGAGCGTGCAACAGCCCAGCTCGGACTTCAACATCGCCAAATTGCTCACGCCCAAACTGGCGGGGGGCAGCTCCTCCAACCTCTTCAAGACCATCGAGGACAACAGCAGGGCGCAGCAGAAGCTCTTCCGGGGGGACAACCTGGAAAAGGTGCCCCAGTTCCAGGTGAGAGATGTCAGAGACAAGTCCAAGACTCAAGGGCCCCTCCACCAGGTGAGAGACGTCAGGAAACTCATCAAAGGGTCGGGGGATAGCAGTGACAAGGGCAGCGTTACCCCAGAGCAGGGGCTGACCGGGCCCAAGCCCAGGCAGCTGGCTCCTGCATCCGGTGGATCTGGATCCCTGTCCCCGATGGTGATCACGTGCCAGGCTGTGGTGAACCAGGGAGAAGACAGCACGGACCGAGAGCCCAGGGAAGGCGTGGGCAAAGGGGGCAGCAGCAGGGTCTTGGATCCCTCCTCCTCCCCAGAGGGGACGGTCTTGGTTCACAGAGCATCAGGCAGGCTTCCTGTGGCCACCATCGCGCCCAACAAGCCTGAGCAGGGCTCCTACCTGCCTGTGCTTAAGATTGTCTCCAAGGCTTCCGCCCAGAAGACCCCGGAGAAGGTCAAGGAGGAGGAGGCGGCCAAGGAGGAGGGGAAGGCCCCCAAACCAGCCCGGAATGCCCTGGAGAAGCTGACTGCGGCAGTGAGGTCCATGGAAGAGCTGTACAGCTTCAACAGGAACGAATGGAAACGCAAAAGCGACCCCTTGCCCATGCTGACCGACAGCCACGTCCTGTCGCTCATCGCCAGCGAGGAGAGGGAGGGCGGCGTGGGTGCCGAGGGGGACCCCGACAAGCTGGCCAAACGGCTGAGTGAGACGGAAGAGCGTGGCCCGGCGAGGAAAGGCGCCGCGGTGCTGCGCGGGGCTCCCCTCGAACGCCTGCAGCGCAGAAACTCCAACCCCAGCGCCGACAGCGTGTCTGCCCGCGCCGCCGCCTTTGAGAACCTAGCCAGGGAGAGGCCCCGGTCTCTCTACATCCCCCCGGTCCACAAGGATGCGGAGAGAAGCCACCCACTGCAGCCCCTCCCGCCCTACCCCAGCAACCGCAACGTGCTCACCGTGAATGCCGGCAGCACCCAGAAAACCGGTGGCGTCGCCGGCAAGTTCCCCCAGGGGCCTTCTCCGGAGAGCCCCTCAGCAGTCAAGGGCATCAAGGCGCAGGGACTACGGTCGCTCAAGATCTCTCCGGCCGCGCGGGCACCGCCTCCCGACGAGGCGAGCAGCAGGAAAGGTGGCCTGGGCCTGGAGAAGAGCAGCAGTGACTGTGAGAGTTACCTGACCATGCCGCTGAAGGCAGGCTCTGCGGCTGCCGGGGGGCTTCCTGGCAGGCCTGGAGCTGCAGCAGAGGCGCCCCCCGCCTCCTCAGCGGCCACGCTCTGCAGCTTACCCCCACTCAGCGCCCGCAGTCAGATCCCCAGCAGCCCCAAAGGCTCTCAGGTCAGTGGAACCAGCCGGCCTGCGTGGCGAACCAAGCCTGACAATTCCCGGGAGACCATTGCTGCTGCTACTGCTGCGGCTGCTGCAGCCGCTGCAGGGCCACGAAGCCCCGAGCATCCCCCTACTGCTATCTACCACCAACCCTCACTGCCCTTCACCCTGCAGGGAACCCAGCCTCAAGTCCTCTGCTTCTCCCCGCCTGGCATGCCTGCCCCAGCACCTGCAGGCCCAGCTGCCGTCCCCACAGACCCCTTCCAGCAGCCGCAACCCCAGCAGACCCAGCGGAAGATGCTCCTGGATGTGACAACCGGCCAGTACTATCTGGTGGACACCCCAGTGCAGCCCATGACCAGGAGACTGTTCGACCCAGAGACGGGTCAGTATGTGGATGTGCCCATGACCTCCCAGCAGCCAGCTGTGGCTCCCATGTCTCTCCCTGTGCCTCCCCTGGCCCTGAGTCCTGGGGCCTATGGACCCACCTACATGATCTACCCGGGGTTTCTTCCCACGGTGCTGCCCCCCAACGCCCTGCAGCCCACGGCAATCGCTCACACGCCGGGGGGCAGCGAGCTCTCCCCCATGGCGGCAGAACCCCCCAGTAAAGAGGCAGCTGCGACGTTCTCTGAGGCGCCGTACTTCATGGCCTCCGGACAGTCTCCAGCCTCCCCTTCCTCCTCGGCCCCAGCAGCCACGTCCCAGCTCGTGGGGGCCAAGGGCTTTGCCCAGCTGCACGGCAAGCCCGTCATCAGCATCACTTCGCAGCCCCTGGGGCCCAGGATCATCGCGCCCCCTTCCTTTGACGGCACCACCATGAGCTTTGTGGTGGAGCACAGATGATGGCGGTCACCAGGGATCCAGAGGGAGCAGCTGCTGGTGAGTGGATTCTACCCTGTAAGCTGGGAGAAGAGGGTGTCAGAGCAGGCCCATTTGTGTTGGCAGTGGGACGTTCATTGCACAGGGGCTGTCTCTGGAAATGGGCATTTGGGAAGAGTAAGAACAGAACCCCAGCTGCTTTATGAAGGAGTGGATTTTCTCACCACTTTCCTCCTCTTCCCACTCTTCAGTCCCCGTGCCAGCCTTTCTTCCCCTTTGACCTTTGCAAATTGTCTAAGTGTTTTTCCCACGGGGAGTAGGAGGGACAGCGAACCTCCCATCTGTCCCTTCAGCCGGCCTTAAAGGTTGGCAGGAGTGGGGAAGACATGAAAACCTGGTCTGGATTTTGTGGAGGTGAGCCTTGCTCTTGGTTCCTGACAGCCCAGGTGACAAAACACCAACTGTCCTAGGAAATCCTTGGAAACACGTTCATGTGTCTGCTACCCAGGAGGAAGGGGAGTTGAGAACTGACATCCTCCTGTTAGGGAGATTTTCCAAATCTGCAGAACTGCATGTCTTCCCTTTTCTTTTCTATCTTCCCCCTTGACATTCTTATACAAAGGTTCTGCATTTTTAAAACTCTGGTTTTTCAGTTTGTAGATGAGCAGAATAGCTTTTGTTGGAGTGAGTCTGAGGTCTTTAGTATATCTTGCACACGTGAACACACACATGCATGCACACACACACATAGTTTGACCTCTAAGAGAAGCTGGATTTGAGGGTGCTCCGCGGATGGAGCTGCTGCGTTTGATCCAGTCCTGGAATCCACTACGCTGCACACTCCTTGTCACATCTGCCTTCTCTCCCTTCAGAAAAAGAATCAAGGTCTAGCTTATACCTCTGAAGAGGAAATCAGAGAAAACAGACTCCTGACTTGTAGGTTAAGCCAGATCCACAGACAGGGATCCCTGCTGTAAATACAGTCCGTGGAACTTGATAGCAAGAGTGAGTCTGGCTTTTCTGCACCAGGACACTTCAGGTCAAACACATGAGCCAGGGCAAAGACACCTTCAAATGGGAGCAGAGAGCTGTCAGAGCTGTAGGGACAATTTTTGTCCACGCATACTCTTGCTTTCCTCAGATGGGAAAGGTTGAGATTCGAAGACTGTATATACCAAATCAAACAAGGAGATGGAGAGAAGACAAGCCTTGTGCATGCTTCTAGAATAGAAATAAGCCCTTTCTCTGATCTGAAATGTAACAGAGGACCAGTATTGCTTTGTGCAGTGAAAGAGCCTTAAGTTAGGATTTAAGATCACTGGATTACAATCTCACAGCTTCTCCCCAGCTGAGGGATCTTGGGCATGAGGAATGGTTTTTCATTCGTGTGTCATCTCTAGGGGACACGGTATCTAGCCCTCCACATAGATCTGAAAGTCAGTTGATAGAATGGTGTTTTACAAGCTAAAAAAAAATTGTTACTGAATATTAGTCCACTTATCGGACTATAAAACGACATTAAGCACTGTTCAAAAATCCTCAGGCAGGTCTTTAAGAATTTGGGTGAAAGCCCAAGACTGGTTAGGGCAACAACCTAGAAATAAATGCGTTGGATTGTTTCTCTCCATGCATCTGCAACAAGCACTGTGTGATGATCACAAAAAGAGCCAGGAAGGAGAATTAAGATAAATAATCCATCTTTTGCTTGGCATAGAGAATAAAGGAAAAATTGAATGTGCGTGTGAAAGAGGTTCAGAATTAGACTTAGTTTTGTAGAAAGAGAAGAGTCGCCTCTAGGTAAAAACATTTTAATCTCTTGGACAGGTAGGTTGTTTACCTAGGGCTATTTTGGATCAGCTAATCCTGCGAGGCCTTTGTGAGGCTGTGGAGGTGCAGTAGGAAGGGGTGGGGGCAGAGAGCAGAGGAGAGAGGACCACGCAGACACACACTCACAGGGTGTCTCCTTGGCAGCCGCCCTTGGCATTTCTTCTCTTTGCTGAGTCTGGAGAGATTAGACTTGGAGTTGTTTCCATCAAACACAGATAGAAAGCACAGTTTTTAGAATTCAAGACTTGAACAGTGGTTTTTGAAAATTTTTCATTTTTGAAAGCACAGCCATTATTTTAGTAAACAGCCCTTATGAAGCTAGAATGGCAAAAGCTAGTTTCTTGATTTAAGAACAGCAGTCAGGAACTCCAGGCTAGCTTTTTAGAGAGGGAAAAATCTAGTTAGCTAGACTCCCATAATGAGTTAAAATTCTCCAAAACTCATCTTCCTGAAGATTCTATGCCACTTTCTAAAGAAAAGTCAGATAGATTGAAAAACAGAAGTGCGTCTGTCTTTTCCATGAGTAACAAATTTATGAACACTGTTCAGGTACTCACAGAACATCCATCAGTGCTTGTACAGATGGCAAGTGGGAGAGGTGTTGGAAGGTGGGTGCCGCCCCACATTGCCTTTGAAACCCAGATGTATCACAGAGGTTTTCCTTGAAGGAGGGCGAGGTTTTATGTCCCCTTTTCAACTGAGAGGTCATTTAAATGACTTGATCCAGAAACAGCATTAAGAGAAAGAAACTGAGATTTGGAAAGAAATGGTTTGCTGAGGTGCCCAGAGGGTGAGAAAGCCAGGACCTCGAGCTGGAGTTTCCCTCCAGCAGCACACCATGCTCCCTGCAGGGTGCACTTGATGTTCCTTAGTGGGATACTTGGAACAAAAGAAGGATGGCAGAGGTATAGGCAGCAAGGGCACCCAAGATCTACTCCCTAGAGGTGTGTGGATAGTAACCATCTATCTATGTTTCCGTTTATCCCCTAGACATTTGTAAAATGAATGTTTGAGCACAATGCACTAATTATCCCATTTATTCAACAAACATGAATCACTTGAGTACACTTTCCCAGTCACTGAGTGCTTGCCAGTGGACTGTAAACCCACGTGTGCCCTGGTGTGGTCCTCAGGTCAGGAGCACACACTCCGCAGGACAGGGTGGACCCGGGCACACAACTGCAGAGTAGGGTTCAAGACCTGTCATAACCTTCACGCTTCCTTCCAGCTCAAATAATAAGTATTTCATCATCTATTTTTAGCACCACGTTATAACAGGAAGCTTTCCCTTTATCCTCTTCATATGTATTTGGGCATAACCAGCTACCCTTATCTCTTTCTGATTATCCCATTGTGGATTTTCTTTATTTTTTGCTTTCGTAGGTGAATCTGTCTAGCTTCTCCTGCCCCTGTGATCAGGATTCTCAAATTCTGCTATGTCACCACCCATCTCAAAAGATACTTATTATATATTTTATTGTTAATTATTCTTATTATCAATTATTATTAATGATGATTGTTATTGCTACTTATTTTATTGTTATTTAGTCATGTCACTGCAGAGTGTGATGAATGGACAAGCCTGTTCAGTGACTGGCACCTGATGGCCCAAGGCCAGCCAGCCACACGGTCACACATTTGTGACACACCAGTGTGCTGGGCCCATCATGGTTGGCCAGGACCTCGCCCCTCCCCCTGTTATTGTTAGGCCTTTCTTACTGGTTTGTTTATTTTGGTTTGAGAAGTCCCTTCTTCACAGGCTCTTTGATGCCTTTTTAGTGCTACTATTTTTGTTCTAGTTTTCTTTCATTTGAGACATGTGGCTATATTTTTCCTTCCCTGACTTCTCCATCCTCACATCTTCGCCCGCCCACTCACGTAGATGCCACATTTTTCTTTTGCATTTCTAATTGAGACTTGATGCTAAAGAGCAGTTACAAGGGCATACACTTAAAGTCAATATGCAGGACCTACAAAAGAAAGATTCATCAGCACCCTGCCTGTAGAGGTGCTAGGTCCAGGCATAATAGACTTGCACTTGTTTTCTCTCATATGAATGCAAATATTTCCTTTCTTTATTTCTGAGTGTGCTTCATGGTGTTCCTAGAGTCCTGGTCTTTCATTTTTCCTTACTTCCTCAGAGATAGCTCTCTCCTCTGAACAGGGCCCCACACATCAGCAACTGCAGTGGGAAGAGCAGAGCTGGATTCAGGGCAGTTTTTCCCATGGACTTCTCTAAGGGGGCCCTACAGGACTCCCTGGATCAACAAGCCCAGCTCCCTGGAATGACAAGTGCAGAAGGAAAGTGGGGCTAAAGAGGTTGGGTGTACCTTGCTTACTCGCAGTAGAGCTGCAACTTGAACCTGAATATTGTACAATGGGCTCTTCTTCATTTGCTCCTTTCTTCTTCTTGTCCATTGCCCCTTCTGTTCCCTACAGCCTCTCTGCTCTCCTGGTTTTCCTTCCTAGTGTCTGGCCCGTGAAGCCCCTGGGTTTCCTTTGCCATTTGTTTGAGAACTCATTTTTTGTTCTTGTGTTTTTCTAATTTATTCCTTCCTGTAGTTCCCCCTTCTCATTCACATCAACTTGCATTGTTCAATGCTCTAGCTTGCATCGCCTGGTGGCCTCATGTTTTTGGTAGTTAGTTTTCACCACTTACTGGACAGCTTAAAGGGCAGGACCGAGTAGACCCTGCCCACTCTTTCACCCAAATGCTCTTTGAAGCTGTGAGCAGTGCTGGTGAGTCACCCCAGACATGGGGATCTGGCTGCCCTTCCCAACCTGCAGGCAGTGGTCAGGGAGGCAAGCTGAGCATTTCATTTTCAGTTCACTCCATAATAACATTCCAGAATCAACTTGTTCATATCTATCCCCACCCCCCAACCACTGCCACTTAGCTGTGGGTTCCTCTCCCAGTTATTACACATAGGAGCTGTTTTACTTTTGTTATCTTCTTAATGTCTTTTTTTTTCCTTTCCTTTTCTTCCTTTCCCCTTTATGGAATTGAACCCTTCCTCTGGCTCACTGTTTTGTGCCTTTCTCCACTACCAGGACATTCTTCTCTACTCTCTCAAAATGTAATGAAAAATGAAAAGTAACAGCTAATGTGTAGTCCTCATTTGTTATAGACCAAGATGAACATCAGGTCATTGGATTTTTGAACAAGCAGGTGCTGTTCTCAACCCATTGCTTCAGATCAGCAGCCCCTGAAACCCAGGTCTTGGAGCTCCACTGCCCAGGCTCCTGCAGGCGACACTTAGCTCACTCTGATTGCTCTCTGCCCTCCGGTCACAGCGCTCTGTCATGAACTGTCCCCCTTCCCTTGTCTGCCCTTTAGGTGTCAGGCATTTCTTGCTAACTAACTTCAAATTTTTTTGCATTTTGCCTCTTGGCCACATCAGCCTGGTGAGAGACTCAATATATGAGGCGTACATGTCCTTGTGGAGGAGGGAGAAACCACAGCTGGGGTTTGACTGCAGCCCTGCTGCCAGTTTTCCTAACTTCAGTTTCATTCAAAGAAATATGAAAGTCCTATCCAAGAGGAAAGAATCTCCTAGCCATTTCACTGCTGAGACGTGCCTGTGTTTTATAGGATGGGGGGCAGGGGAAGGGATTAAGGTAAGAGATTGACCCTGTATCTGGCAATGTCCAGAATACACCAAGCCCTTGAGTGTGTTTTCTTTGCGTTAAAACATGAACTGTCCTTTGTCATCACATCCTGTGTCCCCAGAATGAATCCGAGCCAGTTTCAGAACTTCTAGGCCTTGTGGCTCCCAGGAGTAAATCTTTGTGTATATAGCGGGAGAAGTGTGGAATGTGCAGGTGGTGTAGTGGGCTGAGGTGTTTTAGTTGGAGGAAAGCTGTGTGGCTTTGATGCTGTTGCTTTAATAGCCCAGACAAGTGATTACCCTTTCTGAGCTCCGTCTCCCTCTTCTGGGAAAGGGGGGTATCTTTCAGAAGAGCTGTGAAGGTTGAACTAGAAACCATCACAAAGGGTCTACCACACAGCACATGACATGCAGTAACTGTGTAATCTCTCTAGACCTTCATGACAGCCCTCGAATTCCTTTATTTTCTTAGATCTCTCCATCAGAGCTTGAAGGCAGGCAGCCCTTATCCTAGCTCGCTGTCAGGGCAGCATCAGAAGTCTGCGGCCACGATGGCACTGGATTTCCCCAATCTGGAGGCAACGCCCGCCGTTCTGTGGTTCCCTCTGAGCTGGCTCACCCCTCAGGGCAGGCCACTGGCTGTGGGTCAGGGTACTCTAGTATCCGCCAAGGCCTTCCAGAATGTTATACAACTCTGGGCATGGCTTGCCAGCTGCGTGTGGTGATTTTCCTCTGTGTCTGGGCACAGACCTGTGTGGAGCAAGGGAAAATCTGACCCAGCATCCCTGCTGAATTCTGTCATGTGTCTGGTTCTGAAATCGTGAGAAGTCACTGAGCCAAGCACCCCTTTCGTCTTCACTGACTTCTTCCTGATCAGCCAGGAGGCCTCTGATAAGCTACGTGGGCAGTTTTTATTATCTTATCCTTAACAGGGACTTGGGGCACCCTTATTACTTTCATATAAAATTTCTCTGAAGTTAATATAAGCAGAAGCAATATCCTGTGAATGTACAAAAAGGCAATGTGTAGAATAGTGGTCCCTAAATAATGCCAGCAGATTGTATCAATGGATTTCCCTTGCATTTCTGAGACTGCTAACCCTGCACTGTTTGAAGCATTACAATCTCTCTCTCTCTCTCTCTCTCTCTCTCTCTCTCTCTTTCTCCTCTCCCCCTTTTATCTCCCCTTGGTGCCTTTTAACTCAGCTCTAGGAGTTCTTTGCAAACCTTACCTTGTCCTGGGACTCAGCCTAAGCTGTTTTCAAATCCTTGGCTCTGCCTTCAAATTACTTTTCTTGTTCTCCTATTTTCTTTTCCTCTCTTGTAATTATATTTTCTTTCGTGTTGCTTCTCTGTATGTGCTAAGATGAGAACACTTAAATTTAGCAAATGAGAGGTCTCCAGTCACACAATAGTCCCTTTCATTCTGAAGGCCATTTTTCAATATCAAATATAAAACAATAAAACCAATATGAAACTAAATGAAAGAAACATATGAGCTATAATTCATAACTACTCCCATAGACTTCCATGTGTTTAAGCAGGTCTGTTTCTAGATTACAGGACTAAAATATCCCTTGCCTCACTACTCTGATTGCATATAATTGGTTGGATAGCTGATATTTAATACTTATTGGAGGTTATTTTTCACATGATAAAGTCTTTTTAATCCCCATCAGATATTACCTGTAGGCCACTCTATTTCTGTCTTGATAATATTAGGTTAAAATACCAACTCTCAGATGTTGAAAAAATATTCTTCAGGCAAAGTTCTAATGGGTAGACGAGAGCTTACACACACATAGATGAAAAGAAAGAGCTACTTTTCATTCAACACACTTTTGAACATGTCAATCCTGTCTTAGAATAGCTTTAACTAAGGTAGATGGGTTCTACCAAGTTTATCTCATTAAAAAATGCACTGTGTAAAATTTTTCATAATTTAGGTAGAGTTCATTTACTTTACAAGAACTCTGAGAATAGCATTTACTCATTTAATTAGGTTACTAAAAGGAGGTAGATTTTAATGTTTCAATGTAGATGTCAATAGCAATTCTGCATGCTGATTTTAGGAACGGATGTATATCACTGTGTTATCCCTGCCATGAATGACAGTGAAACTAAACATTTAACATGAAAGCCACATTTATGATAATTCATTGGATTTAATTCAGTTTTCAAAGAGATTTCACTTTGGGCATTTTCTTACAGTCAGCCATAATATCTTGTAGGTTTAGAAACATACTTGTCAAATAATATTTTAAAATGTGAATGGCATCACTATTAAGGTTGAAATTAGCCAAATAGTTAAGTAGAAAGTATTTTTAATGTTTCTCTTGATGCTTTAAAAGTGATATTTATTTCCACAACTAACAATCTCTTCTTTGACTATTTTTTTATAGGAGCAAGACAGAAATGTGGACTATTCTTCTTTAAAGTTGTGTTGTAATAGCACTAAGAATTCATCTGCAAAACTTCTTCCACATGTGTTGTTTTTAATTTTAGCTTCTTATAAACCAAGTGTGTAAGTTTCTGTATTTTTCTGAACAAGCTTATTAAGGCAATTTTTGTTATTTTAATTTTGCAAAGGTGATTGAATGCTTGCATTTTCCCACCCCCATGAAGCTGTGTTTTTATACTTTAATATGGGGTATAAGCTTTCTACTCAGCTTCTTCCCTCCTACACTTACAACTTGACAAGTGCTCCCTTGAGTATTTCCATTGCTCAATCCAAACGTACAAAAGAAAGGGATTGGCTGTGTTGTAAACCAAGTCAGAACATCAGTAATAAGGGTCACAGAGCTCCTTCTAGGTTCTTAGATTATGTGAAGACTAGCTGGCAAAGTTGTCGTGCATATTTAGGTTTTACGTACGATCGTGGGTCTGCACTTGGAATCCCATGCCAGCCAAACTAGTCATTCTTGATTGTGCACTATGTGTTCTGTTACTGAGTTTGGCATTATTTCAAATGTGATTGCGAAAAACAGTTGTTTTAACTTTTGTGCTTTAATTTTCCCATTTGTACAAGGCCATGACACTTATTTGTTGCCTTAATATAGAATGGTTTGGGTTATTGAAGAGCTGGTGACTGCATTTAAAATTAAATTCTTAGGCTCAGAAAGGTATGACATATCTATTCCCTTTTAAAAATTCAACCCTCATTGCATTTTTTTCCTTCAATGATTCCCTCCATAGATGTACACTCCTGCCTCTCACGGGATGTTTGGGACCTGAGGAGTGGCGTGTTTAGGGCAGTAGAACAGAAATGAACTCTGACTCAATGGCTCTGATTCGCTCCAGTCCCAGACATCCCCCAAGCAGGAACCTGGCATTGGCAGCACCTGCTCCTTATGAGGCAGGTTTTATAAGATGCCAAGAACCCGTCGATTTTCCACATTGCCTCAGCTGTAACCTAATTCTGAAGGCTATCTGAGTGTGTGCTCACAGTGAGTCTTGAAGAGTTGGTTGAACTACAGACATTTAGCTTATCTTTTAAACTGATAGCAGTAGACACTCTAGTTGATCTTAGCCACAAGGCTCTCAGAGTGACCAGTTAGACTCTGTAAAGGACAACTCCATTTCACTTTCACAGCCGGAAATTCCTTAATGGGCCTTTACTCTACAAAAAGTTTTCTTGGGGGAAGGGGAAAGGTTTAAGGCAGCAGGAATAATCATTTCTTGTTAAAATTCAGTCATATCTTGGACTGATGAGCAGTGAAATGAAGCCATAGCCTCCGGGGGACATGATACATGAGGCATGTTGCCTCTGTGCCATATTCTTTATCCTAATGGCTCTTGGCCAGGTACATCAATGGAGTCACCCCACAACCTAACTTGGGAAGACAAATCTTACAGCATCAATGCTTACTCATTTTTAGGAGGCTAGCTGGGTATGAGTTTACTTAATATTGAGACAAGAAAGTTGAATGTCTTTCAAAGGACTAAACCTATACAAAGAGCAGCACCATGAAATCCCAGGCATTTGAGCACAGCTGGTGAAACATATATGGTTTAGATAGATAGTACCCAAGCTGTTACGATGATTTTAAGATCACATGTGGCTTTTAGGAGAGCCCAGTGGCCAGGTTGGGACTCATTGTTCATCAAGGCCCTCAAAAAAAGAAACACTTCCTTCTTTAGAAATGTGGTAGAGTTGAGGGACTGAGGATCCACAAGATATATATCACCAGCAGATCTGAGCCTTAAATTCTCAAGAAGTAGGTCAGAAACTAGAAAAGAAAGGAGACATGTTTGTTTGTTAGTTCTGTTCAATAGGCTGCCACCCTCTGAGAAGCAGCTAAGGATGTAGTGAATGCCCAAGTGGTTACAAATGGAACTTTCCAGTGGAATTTTATGAATGCTATATTGCCTGTTGATACTTTAATGGTTCTCTATTTCATCAAACCATACGAAGCTGCTAGGATATTTACTACCTCAAGTTATTGGGAAAGAACATTTTCATAGGTGTGAGGTAAACCTCGCTTCTTTGTTTCATTGTTTTGTCATTTCTTGAGGTTGCAAGGATATTTGAATGAAGTAACTGTGCCCTTCCTTTTTCAACCAATGTGGAATATGACAAGTCTATGAAGCCTTCTGACCCATAGAACTATTACCCCAACAATGTCCGTTTAGCTACTGAACTGCCCTTTCATTTTCATGTCCTAAATAATGCCTTGAGCTTGAATCTAATCACAATTGCAATATGGTTTTTGTGCTTTTGTCTCATGGTTCATGTGTGGCTCAGTTTTCCAGAAGAACCACAGGGCTTTGTCTGTAGAAATCTTGATCTATTTCCTCTTTATCCCTGTTGGTAAAAGGATCATATTGAAATATGCCCTGATTATTTCTGGAAAACTGAACACGTTTGTAACTAGTATGAAAATTTAATTCTCTGGAATGTATTTTCTTGAAAGCACTCACTGAAATTGCCCTCAGGATTAAATGGAGCCCAGATAATAATGACTTAGCATATGAGTTTTTTATATGTTTGTTTATCACTGAGTAAACAAACCAAAATTACATTTTGCCATTTTATGATAAATCTGAAATATTAACTCACATTGCAAATTAATCCTTACATCGTTAGGGGATATCTAATGATATAAATTCTTTTTTTTAATTTCAGATTTGACTTTATCATCCCTGCCTTAAAGAGATTTAATGCATTTTAATTGCTTTTCTACTTCATAGATATGAAAGTCTGTGTTTGCTACAAATTGAATGCTCATGTTACCAGAAACAGTACTTTGGACTGCAGGACAGTATTGATTCCTCAGTAGACTGACTATAATCTCATAATAAATATGTGTATGTGCATGGGAAAACACATTCAACAATAGTCTTTGTGTTTAAAAACTCTCATGGTATACAATTTCCTATGTGGTGCTGGAGGAGTTTCATTCTATGGTTTACAAGGTGTAGGTTTGCACCCCAAATTCTCAGGGTATGTATTTTACCCAAATACTTGAAAGAAAAAGGTGCCCTGAATTTTACCAGTACTGTTGAGGAGGAAAAAAAATGTGTAAGTTTGTTTATAAAAACTGCTTATAAAAATCAAATTAATTAATATGTTAGGATATATATATATACATTTACACATATATATAAGATATATATTTTGAAGAGACTGCTTATCTACTCTTAACTAACTTATGGGTCCTATGTAGACCTCACAGGTGCATAAAATCCTTGGTAAAGCATGTGCTATTGCTAAATGGTGCCTTGAGCTTGAATCTCATCAGAACTGCAGACCCTGGCCCCCAGCAAAGCAAGCACGTCCACAGGCGGCACGTGGGCTGAGGCCCAGGGAGGGTTCTGAAGATGGGTTCCTTTGTACCCCACCCCATGTCAGAAGAGAACTGAGGGTTCCTGGCAGCATCTGTGAGCTGTTAACATGCAGTGTTTCATGTTACGACTGTGGCACACTCTACCAGATTTATTCCTGTTTCATTCACAATGGTGCAGAATAAGATACACACACATACACACACATCCAATTTGATTTTTTTCCTTTTTTTCTTTTTTTAAGCTTCATAATTGCTGTTTGCAGACTTGTGTTAATAGTGGAAAGCCCTTCCCAGGGCTCCCTCAAACAGCTACCACACCTGTGTCTGTTTTCTGACAGGTGGTCCTTTCTTTTTCTCCCTTCTTTGAAGATGTGCATTTCTGTATTTACATATAAATCATACTATTGTAACGACAGTGATGGTTGAAAAGAATGTGCAGACTGTAGAAGTTGTGTCTGAGCAGACAGAGTAAATTGTGCGATAAGTAGGGAAGGATGTGGGATAATGCTGAAGTACACCCCTGACTATGAATCAAGTCAGTGGGAAATGGAAAGAATGTGAAATTTTAAACTGCAATCAACACAGAAATTGCGGTGGAAAAGTTCCTAACTGAAGTCTGAAGTGATACAATTATAGAATGCAGTGAGCTCGGCCAAGCAGACTTTGAATCCAGCCCAGTAGTTCTGAGAATTACCTACTCAGTCTATTGCATATGGAGAAAACTACTTGGACATGGATTCCGTGAGACTGGCCTGCTAATCTTTCAATCGCCAGCGTTTGTAAATGACTGTGCAATTTTGTGTAATGGTCTTTTATTTTGACTGTTCTGAAGAAAAATTTGTTTTGTTGGTTTTTTTTCCAGTAAAAGTAACTGCAAAAGAACTATGTATTATTTGTCTTTAATTTAAAAAACAAGATTTGAACATTCTTTATTCTTCTGCCTTCTAACTTTCACCATTCATTTAACTAAAATATTCATATGTCACATCCGGGTTTTAGTTATTTTTATTGTCATGGTGACAAATGACCATAAGTGCAGTGGGTTAAGACAAAACAAGTTGATCATCTTACGCCTCTAAAGGTTGTTAAGTCCGAGGTGGATGTTTCCCTGTGCCCAGAGCTCTTCATCTCGCCAACTGAAGGAGCTGGACCGAAGCTTGCCTTATTAAGTAGCCCTGGCGAGAGCACTGACTTGGATGTTTGACATGCCACTGACACCAAACAGCAGCTTGGAAAACAAGCATCCCTGAGGTCCCCCTCTGAAGCCCAGTTAAGTAATTGTGGTTATCCTTCTCACAAACTAGTATCAGAGAGTTGGGTCAGTGCATAACCTGTGCCTTAAATCAATCACTGGCCAATGGAGGGCACTGTAAAATCTTAAGATTAAAGCCCCCAAACTCGTTAGCTTATATTCCGCCAAGAATAATGTCAGGATTCCTCACTTTATGTCCTAGGGTTAGGAAATACAGAGCCTGAGAAAGCAGTTCCTGGCCTTATATTTTCACCTCCGGTTTTCCAGATCTTCTTCCCAGTGAATTCTCAAACTACGTTCTCCATTTTGTGTAAAGTGTCTGATGTTTTTCTCTGTGTAGCATCACCCCATTAGCCTTCATGGCCATGAAACCACCCAATCCTGAGTGTTCTAGACTCAGGGACTGCAAGAGGTGTATTAGCCAGCTTTTCATCACGTTAACTAAGATACCAAAGAGGAGCAATCTAGGAAGGAAGAAAGTTTATTTTTGGCTTATTGTTCTGTGGTTCACTGTCCAAGCCTATCAGTCTGGTGACTGATAAGAATGGTGAATGGCAAAACCTACACCCAGGAAGTATTACAAAGCAAGCCAGGAAGCAGAGAGGGACAGGAAGTTTGCCCAGCTTACAAAACCAACTCTTGTGAGAACCACATCCTGAGAGTAAGCCCCTCAACAACCCAACGATCTCTCACTAGGTCCATCTTCTAGATGCCATATTTAAGTCATGTTTCCACCCCTAATGCATTAGCCATGAACGCAGGACTTTGAGGACTAAGCCTAAACACATGGGCCTTCGGGGGCACCCAAACCATTAAGCAAATCATAACAAGGGGTCTTCAAAAATTTCTTGGAAAATGCATAATATGAAAACACTATGAGTAGACTTCAAGATTTTTGTACCAAATAAACATCTTTTAATTTCAATTTTCCACAAATTTTTTTTGAAGTACTCACACATATGGATGTTAGGATTTTGCTGAGGGCTTAGCGTTAGTGGGGTGGGAATGAGCAGATGGTTCAAAACATGGCAAGCAGTTACATTAGCAATCACCTTAAACTTGAACCATTAATATTTCTACTCTTGAATAGCTCCCTACCAGCTCTGGCATAGAGTTTCATTGATTGTTGAGTTTATTTTTGCCCTAGCCTCTCTCCTTATTGTTATAATCCTCTCCTTCTTCTCATCCTTCATTTTAATGCTCCCTAGCTTACTTGTTCATCCTCTAATTTTCCATCATTTTTGTATTGAGTCATACAATCACCCAGTAAATCTATGCAACTGCAGACCCACCATTCTATGTCCAGAAGCCCTTTCATAGCTGAACACGCTCATTTTTCTAGTTATGTATTGTCATTGTGATTGCTGAGAAACAATCTATCCCAAAACTTAGCACCGTATAACATATGTCATTTGTTTAGCTAATGAATCTGCAATTCAGGCAGGACTCTACCTGGGAGATGTTCTCTGCTTCACACTGCAGCAGGCAAGGGACTGGAGAATCCAGATTCCAAGATGATTCACTCACATGACCAGCAAGTTGAGCTAGCAGCCAGCAGTGAACTCAGCTGGGCTCAAGAGCAAAAGGCCTCTTGCTGTTTGGGCTTCCTCAAAACATGGCAGCTAAATTCTAGCAGTGAGTAGCAGTGAGCAATAAAATGGGGGTCGACACGGCAGTTCCTTAAGGTCTATTCCAGAGAGAGACACAGTATCACTTTTTCTGTCTCTATTTGACAAGCAATCATAGAACTAAGGTTCAATGGAAAGGAACATAAATCCCACATGTCAATGAGAAGAGTTTCAAAGAATTTAAGGACTTGTTTTGAATTCATCTCATCATTCAAAAGTATTTCAAAACATATACTTTTAAAAAAGGGATTATAAAGTCAGTTCTTAGATGAGACTAGGTTCATTCAAACATTCTAGGAAAAAAATCTAGAATGATAGTTGGTATATAAAGGGTTTGATGGGCATGCTTTGTGTGTGTGTGTGTTTTGGGCAATATGTTGGAGTCTGGTAAGGAAGAAATCATTGTGTTTCCAATGTGGAGGGAATCGACTTTCTTTGGGAAAGAATGAATGCCTACTATATGCCATGTGCTCTGATTCATGAAGAGGTTAGGATTTCAGGAAGCTTTGAAATATGGTGAGAATGCCTGATATGCTGATGAAGCCGTCTAGTCTAAGCCTTGCCAAAGGCATGGAGATAGAAAGAGGAAACTGGCCAACAGCCATAAAGAAGAGATCCATGTCAACGACCCAGCATGGGGCAGGCGAGGGAGCTACGAGGGCCTGGTGTGAACAGACCAGGAACTCCAGACCTGGGAAACTTCATCTGTTTTCAGTGCAAATCCTCACTCCAACTCAGGGGGCGCTGGTGAGGCGCAGCAATCTCTGATCAGCATCTTAGCAGGGCCTGTGGCAAACCCAGAGTGGCTACTTCCTTGAAGCATGGATGATTCCTGAGCAGAGAACTCAGCTCTTGACCAATCACGTTCATGCCCTAATCCCCAGTGAGTCACTCCCTCTTAACACTCATTTTCCTCAGTAATATTTTTTAAAGGAGACAATCCATGCTTTTCTCAAAATTTTAATGAACATTTTTAAAAGATAGTGCTTAAGAAATACTATTTCTCTTCCTTTTTGAGCACATTAATTGACCCTTTATTTTTGACCCTTTTTTTTTCTTATTGTTCTTTGGAGGAAAGAGAAGAGCACTGTGCTGCCTGGTTTTTCTGGGGAAGACTCTGGCCTGCTTCAAAAGCACCTTTGTACCTTAGCCATCCTGAAGGGCAGATGGAGCTACGAAAGCACTACTTCCCCAGAGAGCAGCTCCGTAGTTACTGACCACCAACTACACACTGCACAGGGGAGCCTGCAAACTACCGCATGGCCCAAGTTCAGAAGTTCACAGTTTACTGGGGAAAATATTTGTATAAAGATTTATTTTATTTATTTGAAAAGTAGAGTTGGGGAGTGATGGGGAGACAGGTCTTCCATCCACTGATTCACTCCCCAAATGGATGGGCCAGGTCAAAACCAGAAGTCAGGAACTTCTTTCAGGTCTCTCATGTGGGTACAGGGGCCCAAGCACTTGGGCCATCGTCCACTGCCTTCCCAGATGCATTAGCAGAGAGCTGGATTGGACATGGAGCAGCCAGGACAGAAACTGGCACCCATATAGGATGTTGGTGCTGCAGGTTGGGGCTTAGCCTGCTACACCATGATGCTGGTTCCAATAAAAATAAATTAAAAAAAACACTTAAAAAACAATGGCACAAGACAACAGATTAGGGCAGTCACCAAAGTTAGTATGACTAGTTCCCAAGTGGGTGGCATTTAAGAGGACTTCAAAAAGTTTGTGGAAAAAAAGAATGAAAGGTTAAACTTATTTTGGTGCAAAAACATTTTGAGACACATGCATAATTTTCTCATACATTTCCATGAACATTTTGGACATCCCTTGTATATGTGGATTTCAAAAAATGTTTTCTCTAAGATTTATTTTATTTATTTGAAGGGCAGAGTTACAGAGAGAAAGGAAGAGAGAGAAAGAGAAAGAGAGAGAGAGAGAGAGAGAGGTATTCCATCCACTGGTTCACTTCCCAAATGGCCGCAATGGCTGGAGCTGGGCCTATCCAAAGCCAGGAGTTTTCTCTGACTTTCCCACATGGGTGCAGGGGCCCAAGCCCTCGGGCTGTCTTCTACTGCCTTCCCAGTTGTACTAGCTGGGAGCTGGATTAGAAGAGGAACAGCTGGGATTCGAACTGGGGCCCATATGTGATGCCAGTGATACAGGCAGTGGCCTAACCTGCTACACCACAACACTTGTCCCTCAAAATTATTTTGCATCAAAATGAACGTATCTTTTAATTCTATTTTCCGCAAGAACGCTTTGACGTACCATCATATGTAATAAGTAAACCTGGGCAGCAGGTGTCTCCATGGCTGGTAGATTCCATGTGCAGGTAATGTGCTGTGTGCTAAGACCCATTAGGGCAGAAGTAAAGGGAGAAGGATAAGAAAGGAGGAACCAACAGCCAAGTCTAAGGTCTGTCGGGAGGTGTATGTTGCAGGAGCAGGAAGGGATGTGCATGCGTGGCAGGAATGAAATATGGAATCTGAATGTGGTGAAGGAACGGAGTTCTGCATTTAGGAACTCAGGCTGGATTCTGGGTAGGGAGCATCGTACACTGCTTACATGTTTGATGCCTGGAGAGACACTCCTGGGTTAAATCTCGACACTGCCTTTTGCCAGCTGTGAGATATTAGGACAGTCACTATGTCTCTCTGTGCTCAATTCTCCATACACACAGGGTATATAATATTGGTGCCTGCCTGAAAGGGTTGTTGTGAAAAGTAAACGATTTGATGCCTGTGAGGTACCCACAACAATGCACAGCACTTTATAGGTACCATATAAAATGTTCGCATAGTGGTAAAGATAGAGGAAGACTCTGGAAGACTTTGGTCAGGTATAAATAACTTTAATTCTTGGGAATCATCTGCCTAGCCAACAAGTGCTCTGCATTTCCCACACCTCCCTCAGACTGCATTAAAAAGCTAAGAGGCTCCTGGCTCCTGGCTTCAGATTGGCGCAGCTCCCACTGTTGAGGCCATCTGTGGAGTGAA